CAGTGATTATTGGATTCATTCTCTCCCAATTTTCTTACGGTTCACTAGATGCATTTTTTTTTGGGGGGGGGGGAATGGGTGATAAAAATATATAAATCACATTATGTTAAAAATTGTATAACTTAGCATTCATGTATATAATTAGGTTCAAAAGTTGATATAAAACTAAAGATAGACTCACTTTATAACCTATAAATTGTGCCTTTAGGTATTTACTCAATTGTCTTGAAAATGTATGCCCACATAAACATCTGCACCTCTGTCCATGACTTTTCATAGGAGTTCTAGTCATAATTGCCCCAAAATGGAAGTAATCATTATTTCTTTCAAAAGGTGAAAGGAGAAACAAACTGTGGTATGTCCATACAATAGAATTCTATTTACCAATAACAAGAAATATACTATCAAACCATGTAAAGACATGGGGAAAATCTTAAGTGAATATCTATAATACTAAAAGGGTAATATGCTAATTAGACCAGACATCATTCCAGATATCCTTCCTGATGAAGCCAGAGCGGGACTTGGAAGCACTATGGAAACAGAAGCCAGATCAGTAGTTGCCAGGAAAGTACATCTTCTCTCAGTCAAGTCTTGCCATTACTGCAGCCTTGTGGGTGCCCATGAGCCTGAGGACCATGCTAAGCCATAGCAAAGTGCTTGGCCCACAGAAAATGTGAGATAATAAACATTTGTTGTTTTAAGCTTCTAAGATTTTGAGATCATTTGTTATGAACATTATGTAATTATTCCAGTCATATATATTTCATATAACATTAAAACCAAGTCACCAGATGAGCTTTTGCTTTTAACTAAGATGTTGTTGAAATGTGAAAATACCTTTGTCATGGCTCAATACATGTTAATAGAGTTGTCTCTATAAATAGGACACCTTGAAACTAGAGACAAGAATGCTATGCCTTCTACCTTTTCAGAATAATAATACTTTTCAGTATGTATTCCATTTTAAAATCTTCCCTTAACATATGAGTCATTCTATTACATTTCATGTGATACCCTCCTCTCTAACCCCTCCAATTAGTGCTGACTCTCTAATCATTAATGGGAAAACATGAAATAAGACGAAATAAATATTTGGTCATGCCTTCTAAATTCCTCCTAGATATGTCTACATTTAAACTCTACAAGAGCAGCAGGCTTCTCTCATGTGTTCTATGCTAATTGAATGGAAAAGAGGAAAGGGATGGTTCTAGAATAAAGAAGTAAAATACTTATTTTGAATCAGAGGGGGGAATCAATAAATAGAATCTAAGACCATTTAAAATGTCAAACTGGCCCAGGTCGGCATGGCTCTGTGGTTGAGCATTGGCCTATGAATCAGGAGGTCATGGTTTGATTCTGGTCAGAGCACATGCCCAACTTGGAGGCTCGATCCCCAGTAGGGGGCATGTAGAAGGCAGCAGATCAATGATTCTCTCTCATTATTGATGTTTCTATCTCTACCTCTCCCTTCCTCTCTGAAATAAATAAAAATATAAAAAGAAAAATATACTAAAATGTCAAACTGTAATTTTTCTGGTTCCTCATTCATAGCACATTCACAACCTCTTCCACTGGTCTCGCTTGTCTGTACAAATGTGGCCCATTTCCTACACAGATATTTTCTTTGGCTAATGTTCCCCATATGCACAGATCAATCTTCACACCTTCTCACACTCATTTTGCCTCTTTTGGCATGCATTCTGTTTGTCTGCCATATGTATCTATCCCTGCAACATTTCCAGACCCAATTTAAAGTTTGAAATATATCCCTTCCTGCACTTGGCATTTTTATGCCTTTAGAACTTGGCATAAGTTTTCTCTATCAAAATATGACTGATCTTCTTTTCCTCTATTTTTTTTTAAAGCTAGTTAATTTCAAAGAAGTATTTCCTCCTATTTTTGTAATTGTTGGCCCAACCCAGAGTTACAAGAACATAAAAATGTAGCAGGGCATCAGAGAAATCTCTTTGTAGTCTTGTGAGGACAATCCTAGTAGTTGGATGGTGTCTGTGAGGGACAACTGGTTTAGATCAGAAAGTTCTCATTGAAGCTTTTTAGGTGGCTTTTTGGTGTGAACCTTCCTTGGCTCAGGGAAGATACTGCAGCAAGTGACGGTTGACTCCCACAGAAATAAATCTTTGACACATGTGAGAGCTGATTTAATTTGTAATTTGTAATTCATTGAATGACCCTTGGAGTGATTACCCACAATCTAAAATGTAGTTTCCTAATTTATCAGATGGTTATGTCATCACTCCAGGTTGAATCTTCCTTCTTCCCCTCTATACTTTCTCCATTTTCTAAGGTCTAGGTCAAATACTTACTGAAATCCACCAGCCAAAATCCAGGAGAACACACTGAAGAGAAACAAAGTAAGCTTATTTAACTTGATGAAGCAAGGGCGAGTTCTCTCCAGAGAAAGTGTGGAGGTCTCAGTAGAAGGGTTTTGGAGATGGTTTTTAAAGATTTGGCTTATGGTGGGTGGTTCTAAATGGGGCTTAAAGAGGAGGGAGTCATTTCTGAATTGGATGCTGTCAAAAATAGGGCCAATTCAGGGATTGGTATCTTGGGAATTCTCTAGGTGGTAGGAAGGTTAAAGTGGTGCCATGTTATCATTGGTAAATAAGTAGTGGTCACCTGGGTTAGTACAAAGAGGGGATGTTGGGTGGTTTTTTGTGTTTGCTGATAATCCTGGTCTCTGTCTTGTTTCAGACCTGGTCACAGCCACACTTCACAGATGAGTATTGATGTTTTGTGTATGTTGCTCATCACAGCCTCACTCTGCCCGTTGCCAGCACTGATTTTTCACTTTCTGGAATGATTTATTTACTGTTGAGCAGTTCATTTTTTTTTCACTTTTTCAATTCTTTGATGTCATATGCTGAGCACCATTATAAATAAAAATATCCCAGACATGGCCATTAATATTAATTTCTGGTAATTTTTCCCCTTTGATTTCTCTGTTGTCATTATTTTCCTGTCAAATTGTCATGCACCAGTTTGAACTATCAACAGTAATATATAATACTGCACTTCCATTGTTATTGTAAATTTTATATTTTAAAAATTATTTAATAGGCAAAAATGGAATATAATTTTGAACTGATTTGAGTTTCTATAATTATTTGTGAGGTCACTCTTTTTTATCTGTGTTTTGTGGGTATCTAAAATTATTTTGGAGAATGGTGAAAATGCATCTCTAAGATATTACTGTTGTAGATATTATCTGCTCAATTTCTTATTGTCTTCAATTTCTTATAAAGCATAGCACTTTGAATGGCCTTGCATATATGTGTTGAGACTAACATGAAATATTTGCTATCTTTAGAAATAGTGTTTCAGTAGACAAAATACTTACATAATTTCTTCAGGGCAAAATTTCAACTATTTGCAGAAGTCAAAGCAATAGGTATTGTAAATGAATGGGTAAATGAAAAAAAATATTATGATCATACAACAAGATGCTAAGGCAACATTTTTAAACTTATTTATAAAAATAGTGCATTTAAATTTTCAAAATGAGATGGCTATTTTGCTTTAAATTGCTAAATTTGTGGCCATTTGTTCTGCAATCATAAAAAAAAAATGTATCAGTTTTTTTTAGTCTTCCAAATATTTTTGGTTGGAATTCCATTTGAAATACGAAGGACACTTTCTGAAATAACTCCATAATGTATGTTACCTGAAATTTTGTTTGCTGTAATCTTGGTTTTAAATTAGCAAGATAAAATTCTAGACACCAAGTACATTATCATAAATACCTATTGGATGACATAATCCTTAGATAAATTATTCTAAATGTTAATCTTTCAGCTCTACATCTTTTCCAAAATTGACTTATAAAATTGCTAAATATAAATAAAAGACACTCTTAAAATGTATTCCTCTTTGTCAATAATTTTTACTGACTTTGATATTTGATTGTTGCTTTCAGGTAATAACAGAAATATACTCAATAATAAAATATATATTAAAATTACTGTTCAAAATTTTAAAATTATGAATAAAAGTTTATTAAGTAATACAACATAAAAACAGATTTTACTATTTAGTGTTTGTCGGAGTTTCTTGAGCCAAGTTATGTCTGAATCTTCTCTTTTTTGTTGTTGAACCTGTTTAAAGGGAGAGTTTTTGTTCATTCATTGTCTTTTGATGTCTAACATAAATTGAGTAAAATATGAAAATTGAAAGTGTTCAGTTTTATTTTAAATATTTTTATAATTATTTAAAATATTGAAACATAGTAAATATTTTTTTTAGCTATTGAAGCCTAATATCCCTGAATATACATAGCAACACACATATGTATTTTATGCATAGAAATGTAATTTTATACATTAGGCATATAGTATATATGTGTGGATATAACATAGAGTTTATAAATACTTTACAATATATATTTAACACCTATGCTACCTTCAGAAATACAACGAATTATTTTTTCTTTGATGTTGAAGGCTAATCCCCACCAGAATTCCTAGCTCTGAACATGACACACTTAATTCACTTATGACAATATTGTAACATCAATCATGCCTTGCAGCCAGCAACTGCAGCCCTTCTGTTGTTCAGTAGTTTCCCTGTAATTATTTTTTAAGTCATTTCCCCAGTACTTCATAAACCATTTTTAATGCTACTGGATGGAAACAGACAAATTAATTCAATTTTCAAGGGCTTTTAAGAAATGTAGCTTGATTTTAGGTGGCAGTTAATTTCATATTGCTACCTTAATCACAGACATACGATATAGTGTTTTTTTTTTTTTTTTTAAGGTAAGGTTTTCATAGCTGCAACCTAGAAAAAAATTGCTGTATAACAGTGAAGTTTTCTTTCTTTTCCTTTCTTTCTTTCTTTCTTTCTTTCTTTCTTTCTGTATGGGGAGGGGAAAAATCAACCTTACCATCCCCTCTCCCATATGCTTCAACTTTCATGTCTGTTTTGCCATCTATTCATTAGCATAATGATTAATGAAAGTTCTCCAGAATTTCAAATTCCTTGAAAAGTAGCCAGTGCTTGCTCTTTGGAAGCGACATCAAATAAAGGACAATAAAAAGAGGGTGCTTCAGGCTTTGGAAGTCTTTAAAGACACATCGCTGTGATCTTTGTATCACTGCTGCAGAAAAGAGGACAGCATTTCATATTTCTGGCATTACTAATGATAACACAGCAACTGCAAGAAAGCATGGATTTCTGGGGGTAGCATCAGGGAACAGGACTCCTGCTGCGCTCACCAGCTCCCTGCTCTGCACAGCTGCCTTCTCAGCTGGGGGTTTGAAATCAGCACTGTGAGAAAACACAGAAATGACCGTGATGCATCTTCCTCACCATGAGAAAAAGGTAATGTTTAATGAACACTCCAGCCTTCTGTTTTCCTTTTTTAAATTAAACATGGAGAAGTTTTTATTATGATAGGAATGTCCATTCATCAAAGGAACAGAGCAGTCTTAAATATGCATGCACCTAATAGCAGGGCTTCAATCAGCCTTTTGTTGGCAACTGACTTATTTCTGTCTTTGAACATTTTGCTTTGGATCTTTTGTTGTTGTTGTCGCTCCTTTTCATTATGGAATAAAATGCTTACACTGAAAATATATTTGTGCTTGCAGTTAGGGGAGAGGGATGCTGACTGCTTATGGTTTGGCTGAAATCAGTAGGAGTTGCACGAATTATAGGACTTGCTTTTAAATGTGTACATTTATGTCTACAGCATATGAACATGGGATCATGCTCACCTAGCTAAACTTGCATGTAACTGTAAAAATATCACAATTGAAAAAGTAAACCCGTTTTAAAAGTATTTAAATGATGCAGCATTTGATTTGTTAAGGATGCACATATGTACCTCACCGGCTGCTCTGTTGTGGAATGGTGTGTACCATGGTATTCATGGGAGCTCTGCTTTAAGGATGGTTTGGAGGCCAACAAAAAAGAGTTAATTTAAAAACAACAACAACAAAGCTTTTCATCCTCTAGCCATAAAGAAATGCACTATCTTCATTTACACTTGTTGTAGGAATTGCATAGGTATAAATTAATAAACACTATTTTATAGAATCCTGCTCTTCATAGAGTGATTTGCTTCTGTGTTCTTAGAGACGAATCCACTAGGATTCTTAGTTGATTGCTTTATTTTCTCTTTGAGAACAATTTATTTTACAAGCCCAGAAGAATATGAGAAAAGAGAGCTATATGACCTGTGTATGTGCACATGCATGTATAAATGTTTGCTTTACTCTGACTTGGGCCTTATGAATTTCCTTAGCCACTAATTTCCTCAGATTTTCATTAGCCACTAATTGACAAGGTGAATGTTTAGAGGTTAAATACCATTCTTAAGAATGGAGTTGAAGGATTGTATGTGTATTGGAAATGTGTCAAAATAGTTTTATTTTAAGGCTTGAAGCAAAATATTGATTGCTACGACTTTAGTAATTATGCATTATAAAATCTGACCAGTAATTCATTTTACAAACACTTATATGTGCTAGGTACTGGGTTTGGCAATGAAGACGAAAAGATGGCATGTGGTTCTCACTCTTAAGACATTTATAGTCTACATTTCTTTTTTTATTTTAATCAATGAGCTATTTTCTGAAGAAGGATCTGATGTTTAACTCTATTACTGTGCAGCTTATGTTGATGTATTAAATTTCACCTCAAAGGAGAATATCATTTGTCTAGTAGGCAATTGATCTACAAAGGATTGATTTTTTTTTTTTTTACCTACTTAGGCAACAACTATTTATTGAATGACTGCATTGTACTAGTCAGTGTTGGAGATACTTGAGATACAGCAGCAAACAAGACACCAGAGCCTCTATCATGGAACTTATTAGATTCTAGCAAGAATTGAAGATGAGGAGACAGCATAATCCTTCACATTTGTTTTGAGAAAGAGAAATGGGCAAGTATGACTGAGAAACTAAACCTGTTGACTTGATTTTATGGCAATTTATCTGGCCCACTTGGTTTTTCTACTGGACTATGCTGAGTGAAAGCAAAGGAGCTTTTACAGCCTGACCAGAGTGGATCAGTGTTTGAGCATTGACCTATGAACCAGGAGGTCATGGTTCAATTCCCAGTAGGGCACATGCCCAGGTTGTGGACTCGATCCCCAGTGTGGGATGTGCAGGAGGCAGCCGATCAATTATTCTCTTTCATCATTGATGTTCTATCTCTCCCTCTCCCTCTCTAAAATAAATTGTAAAATATATATTTTTAAAAAGAGCTTTTTATAAATATTCATAGCACTTTCAGAATACTTGGAAATCCCTTTAAAGTCAAATGACAAATTGTAATAATATTGTTCTTTCAAAGTCTGTGTTAAGAAGAGTATGCAAAAATTAAATTACTCACCCAGTAAAATGATTTTAAATTTCAGACACTTCAAAGTGAGTTTTCAGCAATAGTCTCCCCGAGTTTCCCTTGACCGACCAACTGGCAAAACACACAAGTTCTTAATGTCCATTGAGATGGTCATACTCTCTCTGTTGGCTGCTTTGGTCACTAGTGAAACTAGCCCAGTGAGCATGCTTCTGGGATCTCATCGTGGAAGGCATTTAGAAAACATTTAAGTGCAGCTTCATGTCTTCCCTGTTTCTTATTTGAAATGCCTCATTTTTCTGTTTTAAGGTGGCAGTAGAATACATTTTTCCTATTTTCTCTTTTGATATCTTACTTTGTTTCTTTCTTGATTTCTTTTTATATTTTATCTATCATCTATCTATCTATCTATCATCTATCTATATCTATCTATCTATGTATCTATCATCTATCTATTATCTGCCTATCATCTATCTATCTATCTATCTATCTATCTATCTATCTATCTATCTATCTTCATCATCATCATCTATTTATCATCATCTATCTATCATCTGTCTATCTGTCTGTCTATCATCTACTATCTACCTATTATCTGTCTACCTAAAATTAAGAATGTATTCTTTTTAGCTCACCCTCAGGTATTTCAAATCCATTTCTCCATTGTCATCTCTATTATGACAGTTGAAAAAACTAAGTTCTCATGTTTCCAATCTCTTTTGCAATGAGAGCACCCATATTCTTTAGTCCTGGACACTGAGACACGGACATATACTTGCTAAGAACTGTAAGAAAGACTTTATTTACCTGCTAGAAGGGAAAGACATGGTGGCATGGCTCCTTCTTCCTTCTTTCTTGAAGGCAGACTGGAATGCTGAAAGCTACTGCAGCCATTTTGGGACTAAGAGGTAGATCTGAGGAAATCCCAGGAGAATTTAGAAATGCCAACCCTAACACGCTAAAACCACTGAACCAATGCCAGCTGCCTCTCTCAGGACTCCTGGTTATGTCAGAAAAATAAATCAACATTTATGAAGTCACCATAAGTGGTGTTTTCCGTTACTTTTAGCTGGGAGAATTCCTAACCAATACTGCACGCATAAATAATTTATTAGAGATTGTTAAAAGTTGAGCATTTTGTTATAAAATAAAACACTTACCAATAAAGAGAAAAATGTAATTCTTGTCTTTAATAACTTTATGGTGGGCATTTTATATGGTAAGCAAATAAAAATCAAAAAACTTTCTGATACTCATCCATGGCTTGAGTCCAATTTGCAGAGGGGCATATTTCTTACCGTTTCTTGGTGTTCAATTTCTCATGTATAAATTGAAGAATTACATTCTTTCTAAGGTCCATTGCAGATTTACACTTCTGAATTTATTAGAATAAATGTATTTTAGGTCTATGGATTTGTAACACTATATATTTTCAAAAATGTGTACATTTTTATTTATTTCAGAGAGGAAGGGAAAGGGAGAGTGAGATAGAAACATTAATGATGAGAGAGAATCACTGATTGGTTGCCTCTTGTATGCCCCCTACTGTGGATCGAGTCCACAACCCGGGCATGTTCACTGACAGGGAATCCACCCATGACCTCCTGGTTCATAGGTTGATGCTCACCCACTGATTTACCCTGGCCAGGCTGTCACACTATATATTGAATAATATTTTAAAAATTGTATTCCATAGATAGTTTGGTTATGAAAGAAGTCATTGTACTTTTGCTGTTCATCTTAGGATTCTATACATTCTACATTGGAAAAACTGGGTTATACGTTTGAGTCTTTTGATAATGCACTCAAAAAATCTAGTTTATTTAGTTATTTACCTGCTGAAATTAGTACAAAAATTATATCTGAAAGCATCTTTTAAGAATAATTTTTTCCCAGCAAAACTATATATAACCTCATTAATATTCTTCTTCTTTGCAGGAATAAATCCAGACAAAAGAATTTCACTAAATGGAGGTTTGTTTGACACCAGCCACTTTATGATATGACTGCGCAACTACATGAAATTGGCACAAAGAGGTTTTATTGAAGCAATAGAAATATTCTCAAATTGCTTTTGGAAGGCATAAAGCATGACAAATAAAATGCTGCTATACCATTTAAAATAAAATATAAGCAAATGAGAATTAAAAGGAAATTGATCATAAACAATATTAATGTCAAGGATTATTTTATTTTTCCATCTAATCTTGCAATAATAAGTGCTTATATTATTGATCAAATGCCAATTGCTCCAACCAAGTCTTTTTTAGCCATATAGGTTGACATTTAACTACAATTTGTAATTTGGTGGATGTTGGAAAATGAGATGTACAAAGAAGCCTTAGCTGGAAATAGAAAATAAATAAATTTGATACCATACAAAAAGGAGAAAATTGATAGTAAGCGAAAAGCTTTAATACAGAAAATGAAAAAAAAGAAAGAAATGAGGATGTGACGATGTGTATGTATTTGTGTGTAAGTATGCGTGTGTGTAGTGTGTGCTTGTGTATGCGTGTTTGTGTGTTTGCGTGCATAGGCAGGCATGTAGGACAATTAGGGAAGCAGAATACAAATGCATCAATAGGGAGATTGCATCCTTTTCATGAGATGAGGAAACGATTGCCAGCTAATGATCCTCACCTCTTGTTTTTCTGAGTAATGGGAAGCCCATGAACTGGAGAGACGATCTGCTACTTAAAAATGAGGGCTTTTTGCTTTCCTGGAAGGAACATAGCATCTCTGGGTGGTGCTGGGATATAAAACAAGCAGAGATGCCTTTTCTCCATGCTGGAA